AGCAGGAGTGGCACCGAGGTGACAATATTCAAGAAGCCTTTGGACAACCCCCTCAGGGACGTGGTGTGAACTTTGGGGTTGTTTGTTCTGGGGCAGGAGTGGGACTTGGTGATCCAGGCTGTCAGGGAGGGGGTTGAGCCACCCCCTGGAGACACCTGAACAGACAGATGTGGTGCCAGGGGACAGGGTTGAGTGGTGGACGTGGCAGAGCTGGGGTCGTGGTTGGACTCGATGATCCTGAAGGTCTTTTCCAACCGGAGTGATCCTGGAGCCGCGCACGGCTCGTGGGGCAGATACTCCCTTCTGCTCACATGATAATTAACAACTGGGGCTTTCCAGAGGGGCCCTGCCAGGGCTGAGCTCTCCTCTCCTGCAGGACAATATCCCACCCAGCCGTCCTTCCCAGTCCAGTCTCCAGCCAACGCCGCCGTCTACCCCCAGATGCCGCTTCCGCAGCCTCCGCCCTACACTGATGCACCTCCTGCCTACTCTGAGGTAGGCAGGGTGCTCTGCTGAAGGTTTTACTTTCTTCTGGGGTCCCTCCCAAGTTAAAAAAAATCTCTGATGAAGCTGATAGCTGCAGGGTTGTTTTGTTCCTGGAGGACTTGTCTGTTGGTCAGCACTGCACCCCTAGATTCTCTTTTCTGAGATCTGCGTCATCCTCTCAAAGTGGGTTGTTGTTCAGAGCTTCCCCTTGAGTTCAGGTGACAAATGTTGCTCACCTGCAGCCCTAAAACACAGCTGTGACAATGTCTGTTGAAGTGGGGGAAAACTGTCATTTCACTGTGTGCCAGCATAAACACTCGGGAGGGGATTCCCTTGTGCAAGCGGGAGGGGGAAGGTCCGTGTTGGGGCTGGTGCTTACACAAATAATACGGAACAACCTGCGGGCAGGGAATGACAAGTCTCTCAACTGGCTCCCGCGGCTTTTCTCCCCCAGCTTTACCGCCCCAGCTTTGTGCCTCTGGGCGCTGCCACCGTCCCCACAATGTCTGCAGCCTACCCAGGCGCCTCCGTCTTCCTGCCTGTGGCCCAGTCGGTGGCCGTGGGCCCCATCGGCTCCTCTGTCCCCATGGCCTATTATCCCGTGGGACCGGTTTATCCCCCGGGCTCGACAGTCCTTGTGGAAGGAGGCTTTGATGCTGGAGCAAGGTTTGGGGCTGGTGGAACCCCCAGCATCCCCGTAAGTATAAACAGATCTTCAGACCCCACGTGCTTCAGCCTCAGAGCTCTGCAGGCTGTCGTGGGGGAGAAGTTGTGCTTTGTTTTCTGAGGAAAACGTGTTTCTTACCCACGGGCCCATCACCTGGGAGCAGAGCTCTCCCAGGCCTGGGGGATTTGCTGTCCCTGCCTGCCCGTGGCTCTGGGCTGGGCTGGCAGGTGGTTCTGGCTTGTGGCAAAACCCCGTGTGAGCCCCGATTCAGCCTGGGGGCCGTGGGGTGACGGGCAGTGGGACTGCGTGGGGACCTGGCCCCAAGTGCAGCCTTGGCCTCTTCCCCTGCTTGGGTGGAGCTGTGGAAGGTTCCTACTTCCCTGGACTTTCCAGGGCCAAGTGAAGACCTTGTTCCCCCAGCTCATGGGCTCCCTCTGCACGGGCAAAGAGCCAGGGGGGCTGTGGGCTCTGAGCAGAGAGGGCAGGGACAGGGAACCCAGCACTTCCCATCAGCTCCTGGATCCTCAGGCTTTGCTGGGTGGCAGGTGACAGGGACATCGACTGGGAGGTTTCTGGGACCCTGCAGCCCCACGGTGGCTTTGTGCCAGCTCCTGTCCTGGCACTGCCTTCAGCTAATCCCCCCCCTTTCTCCCTTCTGTCCCGCAGCCTCCACCTCCTGGCTGTCCCCCCAACGCAGCCCAGCTGGCTGTCATGCAGGGAGCCAACGTCCTGGTGACGCAGCGGAAGGGAAACTTCTTCCTGGGAGGCTCAGACGGCGGCTACACTATCTGGTGAAGGAGGAAGGCGAGGGGGGGAGAGGGGGGGGCTACATTCGTGTAAGGGCAGACATCACACTGTCAGCACTTCTCACCATGTCACTGCTTTTCGTCCATATTAACCTGAAGCTGCAGCTGAAGCCCACGGTGAGGAGGTGTCTTCCTGGTTTGGTGCCCAGCCCTGCAGGTGCTTCCAAGGGAAACAAGGAACCCTGTTAGTGGCAGGTGCCTCTGCTCAAACTAGGGAGGGGGGTTAATTCACAAGATGAAGGTGAGCTCAGCAGCCCTGCCTCTTCCTTTCATTTCACTGGAGTAATAAAACCACAGCGCTGAGCTGTTACTAACACCCAGACACTGGCTTGGGGAGGGTGAGGGAGCAGATCTGCTGCCTCCTCCCCGGCCTGACCCAGATCCACAAACCACCCGGGTTCCCCCAGCAAAGGTGCTGGTTAGAGGAGCAAGCAAACTTTGCCTCCTGGTGTGGGGAGGGCACCTTGGTGTTCTTCCTGACCTCACTCTGGAAGGGATCCCTGGAAGCACTCCCTGCTCACATCCGCCCCTCGTTTTCCCCCAGGAAGGTGTGTAGCTGGTGTGTCTCATGGGCTTTTTTTTTTTATACACTCCAAGTAATCTTGGATTTCTTTGCACATTAGATCTGATCAAAGCCATGCTTTGGTGCCAGAAACACAATGCAACTCATGTTGGAACATTTCATTTGATGCTAATGAGGCTTTTAGAACGATGCTTAATAAATAAACCTCTCTTTTTTTTTTTTTTAAGTCAGCCTGGTGTCTTGACACCAAAACTCCTTAAGGTTGTTGTTCAAACAGAGCGGCTGGTTCCCATCTGTCCAAGGGTGTATTTCAACCATCAATCAACACACAAATTAACTTGGTTAATGGGCTGTTTCATGAACACATACTTTAAAAATGACTTGGGTATAATGAAGTCTTATTAGGGTTAAGAAGAATATTTCAGGGATCCTCAATGTTTTGGGTTTTTTTGTTTTGTTTTATGAAGAAAAAGATCAGATTCAAATATATTTTATCTTGAGGTTTCAGTTTGATCTAAATCTGTGTCTTGTCTATGTTGTGTTTAACCATACAACTGACTGTTAAGTCCAGCATTATGTCTCTCTGTATACACTGTGGTGCACTTAACTTGTGGATTTTTTTATACTAAAAAAAAAAAAAAAGTAGAATAAAGACTATTTTGAAAATTTGAATAAAGTAGTAAATTTGTGTTAGACCACAAATAAACCCCCTTGGCTCCTCCCCTTCACAAGCCTTAGGCTTTCTTCACTTACTTCCTCTTCACTGCTGGTTTGTCAACTTCCTCCTGGGGGGAGGGTTCTTTTTTTTTGGGGTTTGATTTAAACGTGATGGGGACCAGGAGAGGTGGCTGGAGCTGCTCCTCACCCTGCCCTTGTGCTTGGCAAAAGCAGAGGAGAACTGGGGCCTGTTCCTGTGCTAAACCCGGCTCTGCAGACAGAACAAACCTGCTCCACGTTTCCCCCAGGTCAGGTGCCTCTGGGGGCAGGGATGAGCTTCCTCCCCCCCCCCAACTACATAGGGTACAATGGGCCTTTTTGTAACTTGCATAAGCTTCTTTTACATGCACACTTAACCTTAGCCTCCCAATTACCCATGCTAATTACCCCACCCCTAAATCAGCAGAAGAATAACTGGATTGTTTTGTGCGATAAGGAAGGAAGAAAACAAGAGCGACTTTTCAAGCCTTTGTCACTGGGCTGTATTGGAAAGCACTGGAGGGAGGAGGGGGAGGGGGCAGGGGGCTCGGGCAGTCCTGGGGGGCCCTGCCTGCTCCCTAAACCCTGCCCGGGGTCTGCTCCAGGCAGCGACGGGCCTTAAACCTCTGACACCCACCTCTTCAGTTTTTCTTCCACGGTTGGCTTAATAAATTAAGGAGAAAAAAAGAAAAGAAAGAAAAAGCAGCTTGTAGGTCCCCAACTCCAGGGGGTTTAGGCACCATCGGCCTGAGCACACCAGGAGGTGTGAGAGGGTCCTGCTGGCTCAGATAAAATACTCTTCTTTCTCTTTGGATGGAGCCTCCTCCATCTGCATCGACGTGTCGGTCTCTGCTGCCGGCTGCTCGTAGGTGAGGTAGCTGCCTTTGTTTCTGTACAGGTAGAAGATGATCACGACCAGGACTGTCAGCAAGGTGAGGAACACCAGGGTGATGACAACTAACGGGAGAAGGCAGAGAGAGGAGCAGGGTTTTAGCTCCCAGTAGTTGGTACCAGGCTGGTCCTCAGTGAATGGGGTGGATCCAGCAAGGAGAGCCCCTACCTGCAATGACCACAGTGTTGGCATCCTCATGGAGAGCTGGGGTGTGAGCCTTCTTCAGCAGAGGGGTTGTCAGCTCTTCTTCATCGGGCATCAGGAAGAGAGAGAGGAGAAGGTGAGCACGGCTGGTCCCAGCCCAGCTCTGAGCCAGGCTCAGCTGGCCAGGGCATGTGGTGGCCCCGGGCAAGGTCTTGCCAAGGGTTGTTCATGACCGGCCTTGGGAAGCTGTCCCGGTGCTCACCTGCAGACCGAGGGGGCTGAGCTCCTTCCATTGCATCAGCGCCTTCCAGGGCAAGGTCTGGGCTCCTTCAGAACTACCAGAAAAAGGAGTAAGAGTGAGAAATTCACACGCAACATCCTGAAGGGCTGAGCGGTGAGGAGGGGGTGCCGGCAGCGACCAGTGCTAATTGCAGTGAGGAGCGCGCTGGGGAGGGCCAGAGAAAGCAGGGAGAAACCAGGGGAAACCAGGAAAAAGCGGCCATGGGCTCTGTAATTGCCTTTCAGACTTCAAGAGCTTCAAATTGCCTGTAAATCCTCCCACATCCCCCACTCAGGGGCTGAGGTTGATGCTGCAGCCGTAAAGTTTTCACCTGCAAAGAGCAGCGGGAGCAGCTGATCCACCGGGGCAGGGGGACAACCCTGTCCCCCCAAAACCCTCTGCAGCAGCTCTGGGGCCCGAGTGACTCAGCAGCTCCGCAGAGACATGCCACTAGATGTCAGGAGCAAATAAAATGATATTTTAATTTAATTTAATTTTTTTTAAAAAAAAGAAGAGATGGAGCCGGGAGCTCGGCCGGGCTGCCAGGAGGCATCTCATGGGGCTGGGGGGCTGCAAACCCCTGCCCACGACCTCCTGGGTTTTGGAAAGCAGGACGAATCTCCCAAGATCCTGACTTGCCCTGCTTTTCCCCCAGTGCACTTGTGAGTCAAAGCTCTGTCGGGTGTTTGCAAAACACCCCTCCCAACAGCAGGTCTTGCTGCTGAGAGCAGCCAGAGCGCGAAGCTCGGGGCTCACAGAGTCACAGGAATTTTAGGAAACAATTTCCACCCTTCCCAGCAGTGTGCATGGGGTGTTGTGGGACACACCTCCCCTGCCAGGGACTAGGATATCAAGTCTCCAGCAGCTCCCCCTGAGCACAACACTGTCCCACAGGCCCGAGCTTAGGCTGGCACAAACTGCTGACTCATTGAACCCGGTTCTGCTTTAAACCTGCTTTGCTTTAACCTCACTTTGCTTTAAACTCACTTTGCTTTAAACCCAACTTTGCTTTAAACCCAACTTTGCTTTAAAGCTTATTTGGCTCCTCCAGCAGCGATGTCGGGGTGTTGGGAAGCTACCCACACTTCCCAAAGCCAACTACAACCTTCCCGTGGAGTAGCAGTGGATGCTTGGGTGGTTTCAGATTAAAAAATGGGTAAAATTTCCCCCAAACCATAAGATTAGGATTTGAAGGAGAAGAGAAGGTGCTGCTTCATGGAAAGCAGCTGGTGCAAGGCAGGGGAAAGGGAATGCTTGGGAAGCATTTGGCATTGCCAGTGGGAAACAAAACCAGTTCCGCGCCCACAACACCAACAAAATTGAGTCCTGGAACCCACCACAGGTTTACACCAAACTATAGCTGAGGGAAAGA